CTCTTGGGTAACTGCCCTAGAATTAGCAGTGCTCGGACCTCGTCTTTGAAGTCGATATCAACAAACTCTAATTGCCCAACTATCTCGTTGAACGCATTTAGATGTTCGTTGAACTTACCACCTTCGACCATCTTTATGTTGAACAACTTCTTGATCAAGTGCACCTTGTTCGCTGCAGAAGGCTGTTTATACATATTAGAAAGGGCTGCCATGAGAGACATCATCGTCTTCTCGTTCTTGATGTTGAAGGCGACTGATTTTGACAACGTCAATCTGACGGTGCCAAGAGCCTTCCAATCAAGTAATTCCCATTCTGCATCTTTTGTATCCTCTGGCTTCTCTCCCAAAGGTTGATACAAATTTTTCTGAAACAAGAGGTCTTTTATTTGCATCTTCCAGAAACTGAAGTTTGTGCCATCGAACTTCTCGATCATAGATGTAGATGTCTTATCTTCTGATGCCATTACTCCCACTTGAACGAACAGATCTGATCGAAAGACTTTTGGAATTTTGTCAAACACCTTTTGTGCCCTAAGTTCTCAACCAAAGGCTCTGATACCAGTTGTTAGAGTTGCACTGCACAATCAACTAGATTTGATACCAGTTGTTGTGGCGGAAACACAAAATAAACAACATTGTTCAAGAAATAAATAAGTAATCACGAAAAATAAAAAAAATCACGCACAAGAACATAAGATATACATGATTCACCCAAATCTTAGGGCTACATCCATGGAGTACACTAAACAAATTCACTATGAAAAAGATGAAGAATTACAATGGAAAATTCTCTCTCAATCTCTCTCAATTGCTCTTTCTTGTATTGGCACAAATTTATCTCTAATTTTCACACCCTCTAAAATCTGATTAGAGTTGATATTTATAGAATCTAAACTTGTTTTACAAGAACTTGCCTTTTGTAGAATCTAAAACCAATAAGGAAGTTAAATCAGATTAGGAAACTGAATTTTTCTTAAACCAATAAGTAAAATCACATCAGGAAACTGAATTTTTCCTAAACTAATAAGGAAGCTGAACCAGATTAGGAAACTGAATTTTTCCTAAAATTAAAAAAAAAAAAAAAAATGGAGGACACCAAGTGAAAAAGAATGAGAAATATATCCTTCCAAAGCAAATAGAAAAGCACCACACCCATCCAGAAAAGGCAAAAGATCAAAGACAGAAAGAAGAATCAGTGCAAGCACAAAAAGCATCACAAGTCCTCAAAACAGAACATCATCCAGGAAAATGTAAAAAGTGAAGCATCCAATTACAGCTCATCCAAATATAAATATGCCACTTTCCATTAATGCACAATTGAACATAGACGAGAAAAAGAATATATATATATATATATATATATATGCACACGCGCGCGCTAAGACTTCACATGATGTATCAAGAAACTTTAAACCTAGGTTAATCATTGAAAACCATAAAAAATAGCTTACAAGATACTATGAATTTGGTGAACCTGTTGAAAGAATCTTCTTAGTTGTACTGACTAGCTGGTCCTCAAAAAGTGGAAGAAAAATTGTTGCTATTTAGCTTTGCCTAATAAGAAACCAGATACTTTTGTCACGCTTTTCTCCAATGAGCTAATCTAAAATTACCCATCATATAGACCAATAAAGTTGTCAAACATTAAATTTTCCCATAAACAAATGGTGATGACAAATTATACTCCCCTGCTGTATTTCTAATAGTTTGCAAATGCGAAAAAATTCCACTGGTTGATAAACAATAACCAATACTTTGATATAATATGTGGTTGATAAACAATAACCAATACCTTGACATAATTACACTTTATATCATATGTAAACATAATTACATATATGTTTTAGCATCAAGACTTTCCCTGTAAAGTGAGGGCAATTCTGCATCTCTGCATATACTTTGTTTTTCGAACAAATCTTTATGCGAAAATAATAGGACTAAATAATGAAAACGTACATACCTGATTAAGACTATGTATGTACCAGACTGTGTATGTGTATATTACATAGTCCATAAGGTGGTGTTGGTGGGTAATAACTGTTAGCGTAGTGAAGTTTCTGTATAACCAAAAGGGCATCTTTTTCTTCCATTTTTGAGTCATAAGAAGGAGGGTGTAAGGTAATACTGCTTAATTGATCGAATAAGTCCATGGCATTTCCTAATATTGTAGCAAACTAATCAGTTTTTTTTTTTTTTGGTGGAGTGGGAAGGATTGCAGCTCAACTATAAGGTGGATTAATTAGTGATCAGAAAGTGAAGTTATTGAATAACAAAAGGGGTTTGTTTTTCTTCCATTTTTGACTCGGGGTGTGATGCAGTAGTGCTTGATAGAAGAAGTCCATGGCATATCCTGATGTTTGGAGCAAAATAATCAGTTTTTGGTGGAGTGGGAAGTATTGGAGCCCAAAGATAAATGTGGGTTGGTTGGGACAAGATGTGCGATCAGGAAGAAAGTTAAGGGTGGTCTTGGTTTCTAGAATTCATGTTGAAGCTCCTAATGTTCAAGGTTTTCAAGCAATTTTATTCCGCCCCCCAACACACACACAGCTTCCTTTAGGTAGTTTGGATGTTGATGTTAATCATGTTACTTGCAAATTTGGACCATTTTGCTTAATCTTTGGTATGAGATTGAAAGCCCATTTCAAGCAAATTTGGACCTTTTTGCTTAATCTTTGGTATGAGGTTTGAAAGCAGTGAGGATCAGAACTTCAGCTTGGCATCATTTATGTGTCGGCAGCGATGGAAGAAGCATAGGAATGGCTGGGTGTTTGAAGGAGTACTTCAGTTGGATCCTATTTCTATTTCTCAGAAAGCAATGTCTAATTTTACAAATTTTCAAACTATAAAGAATCAAATTTCAATAGGAGAGGCTTGTGACTTGTTCATAAAGATGTATAGGTAGAACTGATATGAGAACAATTTAATGTATTGTTCATCTCATTCAACTTACAAAAGAAACTGAAATAATACTGTCAGTTCTTAATTGAAAGCCATAAATAGAAATATAAGCTAATAAAGCAAGTAAATGATATTCAAATTCCCATCTTTATTCCTGAAAACTTCAAAGACATTACAATACAATGAGAAAATTGAATAAACAGGAGTACTGACAAATAAAAAAAAATATATCTATATATCTAGAACCCCAAGCATCAACAATCTATTGTCTCTCTTCACTAAAAAATAAGACTCTTACTGCCAGCTAGTAGACATGCATGGCTAAGAAAATACTAATTAACACGAAAGTAACTAAGTAAGTACATCGAACTTGTAGTTAAACTGTTTTCACAGAGGAGATTTACTTTTGGCAAAGGGACTGAAAAAGCTTCATAATAGCCACAATGTGTCTTCTTCTAAAGAAATAATGACCCTCAGCTTGAAATCTTCAAACCTTATTACTAGAACAAATAGCTGCAGCTTGCACTAAGTAGACTAGACTTGCATATGCATGAGAACAAAAAACTACAACTTAATGTGTACACAAAGAGGATAGTCTGACAGCTGCACACTGGAAACAGAGATAACCTTGACTCTTGGCAAAGGCACACTCAAAACCGGGACACCCGTTGGCAGAGGGACCCTTAGCAAAGGCACACTGAAAACATAGACACCCCTTTGGCACAGAGAGGATGATGGTACAGGGACAGGTACTGGGAGGTATATGACCAAAAACAGAATCTTCTTGAAAGATATCAGCAACTGATTAGGCCTGGAAAGGCTCTAACAAGGTACTTTCAAGATGGAACAGACTTTGGTCATCCTGCAACAAAATAACATTAACTTCAAAAATGAAATTGAATAATCAAGATCAAATTCTATTAATAACCCAGAATAATTCAAGAACAGATAAAAATCATACATCTATGTATGTCAGTATATACACACCCAGAGAGACACGTATAGAAATGATTAACGGAAGAGGATGATCTTACATTAGGAATCTTGTAAGATTTTTCAAGATCTTCATCACCAACCATTGCCTGGTCCCTGTGCCTCTCAAACTACTCAATCTCTGCAATTACCAATAATCATAGTTTGTTATATTAAAAAATCAAAAGATTAAGAACAAAAGAAAAAACTCAACTATCACTAACCTTTAATTGTACCAAAAATCTCCCTTGCGAATGAATCAACACCTATATGGCGACTACTAAAAGTTGAATACTACTAGTACTTCTGCCCACAAAAATCAAGAACTAGCAAGAACACAAAGAATTGCAAAAATCTAAAAAAAATAAAGAACATGAAACATGGTTAACGACGCTTTTTATTGTGCGCGACGCTGTCGTGAATGGTGCGGTCGGCTTTGTTCTTGAAACGCAACCGGCATTCCTGATTCTTGCAGAAAACTCTAGCATTCTTATGATATATTTTCTGGTGACCAAGGAGCTCGGGCCAGTTTGCCAATGTCGATGGGCATAGATTGCACGGAATACGGTCATTTCCTTCCTCTTGATGTTCAACCTCTGCCTCCTCGGGTTGCTCATCTTCTTCCTCTTGATGTTCAAAGTCTGCGTCCTCTGCTATTGCCGCCATCTTTAGAGAGAGAGAGAGTAAGAAAATCGGGAGAGTAACTTTTTCTTGATTTCAGCCGTTTATTCAGTCAATTCACAGTCATTACAGTGAGAAAGTTGGGGTATTAGTTGTTTGGGTACAGTAAATTTTGGGTTTTATTGAAAAGAGAGAGTGTTTTTTTTTTTTTTTTTTTTGGCAGAAAGTGAACAAATTGAATTCGGGTAGTGATGTTGAGGTCCATTTTCTATTTGGGTCATAAACAGACCCCAATATGTAGAGTGTTGGGTTTAAGAAACAGACCTTAAAGGAATTAAAAATCTTAATGGCCCAGCCCAACAGAAGGTTTGGGACCAGGCCAAGACAACTAGGCCCATATGGCCCAATCCCAATAATGTGTCGTGTGGTGGCGCGTGGTTCTCACGTTTCTGAATTGGGGTTTCTTTTACTCATGGTTCGACGTTGGAGTTGGCGTATTCGGTGACGGAGGGTGTCTGTGATGTTGATGTTGATGTTGGGCGAGTGTTGTATTCTCTATGGCGAGCAATGCCATGAAGGGAGGGGGAGGGACGTGTGTAAGTGGGCAATGCCGCCAAGAGACAACTGGATTTCTCTCTCTACAGTAACGTAAAACACACTCTCTCTCTCTAGAAGTGATAATCCCAGAATTTTGGAGTAGTTTGGTGCTGAATACGGTAGGAATTATAAGTTGAAAGGGGATTGAAATGGTGCTGTGAATAGGGTTTACGTTCTGCGCCGAATAGGGCGGAGAAGAAGACCCAATTCTGGCCAGTGATTTTGGTGTACGTTTCTTCTAGTGTGTGTTTTTTGTGTGCAAGTGTGTGTTTCACTCCATGATTTCGCATTTTTGGTACGATTACTCTTACACTAGTGCAGTTTATGGAAAATTTGGACCGTCTAGGGCATGGAGGAAGGGCGTTGAACCTGCGCTTTACAATCATGTTTCCAGAGCTCACTGGAAGTTATATTTCTGTAAATCAGGTATGTATGATTACAATCATTAGTAATTTTTTTTTCCCACCATATTTAATAGTCTTATAGTTCTCCAACATACACAGTCTAGTAAATTTTCAGATTTAATGTCTTGTTTTTCGCATAAAGATTTGTTCAAAAAACAAGTATATGCAGAGATGCAAATTGCCCTCACTGTACAAGAAAAATTGTCTTGTACTGCAATGCAAATTAAATATGTGACTCCAATTATTATTATTATTATTTTTTGGTGAGATCTCTGTTACTCTGTTTACTTATGCTAAATTTATCACTTTTAAGTATATGCAAAATTTGCCTTGTACTGCTATATAAGTATATGCAACATTAGTCTTGTTTTTATCTGAAAACACAGTATTGTAAATTTTAAAGTTGAACTTAATGTCATGTTTTTCCTTATTTAGTCCTACAATATTCACATAAAGATCTGTTACAAATACAACAAGTATATGCAGAAATGTGAATTGTCCTCGATGTATAGGGTAAACTTGTCTTGATGCTAAAACATATATGTAATTATGTCCAGGTATTGGTTATTGTTTATAAACCTGTGGTATTTTTTTATATTTGCAAAAAATAAGGAATGGAACATCTATATTTTTTCCTATTGGAAATTAGTATACTTTGTGATCCAGTGACCATTTGTTTTATTAGTGGCCTGCTAAACATTTTGGTTTAGCTCGTAGGTGAAAATTGTGACATAAGAAGTATCTGGTTTATTATTAGGCAAAGCTAAATAGCAACGATTTTTCGTTCACCTTTTGAGGATCATCTAGTGAGTACAACTAAGAAGACAGGTTCACCAAATTCATAATATCTTGCAAGCTAGTTTTTATTGATTTCAATGATTAACCTAGGTTTAAAGTTTCTTGATACCTCATGTGAAGTCTCAGCATATATATATATATATAGGTGTGTTTTTTTTTTTTTTTTTTTCTTTCTGCTTTTTCAATTGTAATGATTCTTCTTTCTTTCTTTCTTTGATCTTTTCCCTTGCCTGGATGGGTGTGGTGCTTTTCTATTTGCTTTGGAAGGATTTCTCATTCTTATTATCTTGGTGTCCTACATTTTTTTTTTCTCCGAATAATGATATCCCATCCGACTAGTTTGACCGAATTTTTGTCCGAATCCTACGTAACATAGCCACATCATTTCGCAACTAAATAAATTGTTGCTGCGTGAGATGCAAGCCTGGGAAGTTGAAAAGTTCTACAATCTATTAGGCCATCTGCACCAGCCTCTCCGGATTTTGGCTCTTTAAAAACGCCACATCAGTTTTTCCAAGAGCCACATCAGCAATTCAATTCCAAGAGTCACGTCAACAGTTTTCGCTCTCCAAAAACATGAACTTCATCAGGCTCTCCGAATTTTCGCTCTCCAAAAAAATAATAATAAAAAATTTAAATTATTATTTTTTTTAAACTTTTCCTAAACGGCTATATTTGCAACGGCTATATTTGCATCGGCTATATTTTCTCAACGGCAATATGTTTCAATCAAACAATATTTTTGAATTATTAAAAAAACTAAGATTTATATTAGAATTTGAAACAATACATTACCCATTATGGATTTAAAAAAACGAATTAAACAAAACAATTAAAAATAAATTAAATAATACAATATCCTAAATTGGAATAAGAAAATAAATATACCAAGGATTACAAAATCCTATGGGAACTTTGGGGCGGACCGTGAATTCAAAGATGCCAATATCTCATTTTGTCGTGCAAAAATTCAAGCTTTCCCCGCTTCTGTTGGTGCCGAATTTGGATCTGTTAACATGAGTTCATTCTCTTCAAGTCTCTATTTCTCTATAATCTTTAGCTGCCTTGTTTTCTCTTTCTCCATTTTTCTTACCTCTCGTGTCACTTGGGCATCCTGTATTTTCTCCTGACGACTCTCAAAACGGGTGGTGATATTATTAAATTTCGAAATGAATGTAGTTTGCAATTCATTCGCTGAATTAATTTTTGCTCGACGCTGCTTCGCCGCTTTTCTTCCTGCTGCTCTTTGTAGTTGATATTCTTCCACACCGGGTGAATCATTTTCCCCTATGTGTGGTGATTCTTCAGTTGAAGCTCCATCTGTCGTGGCTGCATGACTTAACGGAATAGATGGTAATGAGTGCCCAACAGACTCATTAATGTCAAAGTCAAATCCACTCCTCTTCTTCGGCTCTTTTTTCTTCTCTCCTTTTCTTACTTGTTCGGCGCAATGTGAATTCCATTTATTGTTATGCTTCAAGATCTCCCAGCAACTTTCTAACTTAAATTCACTACCTGTTTGGCTACGAAACAGGTCTTTAGCTGTTATCATCTACACGAAAAAATAACAAAAAATTAAAAGCCGACTATTTAAAATATTTACGAGTTATATTTAAACAATAAATAACTCACCATATCATCACTGCTGAAGCCGCTGGGACAATTCATTTCTATGGTAGTCATGCAGCCGGAAAATTTGCTGATTTTTTGTTGGATCACCGACCAACGATTCATCAAACCTCCATCATTTCACTCAGTTGGAACACCAATATGTTGTTTATATTGTTCCAGAATTCGCTCTCATAACTTCTTCTTACTTTGGTCTACCCCCGTAATCGCATCAGAGGTAATGGACAGCCACGCCCAACATAAAGCCTCATCTTCAGCCTTGGTCCAATTATTATGTTGGATAGCCGGTTGTTTTGACGGGAGTTTTGTGTTACTTGATTGTGGAACACTAGTACCATAATATTGATGAGAAGTTTGAGACGGTTGATAAGAAGGTTGGGATGATTGATGAGAAGGAAATTGAGAATCTCCTCTATAAAAATTGATATTGTCTTCGGGAAATGGCAAAAACTCATCGTTTGATGGGTTGAATTGGGTGTTATAATAAAATGGATGTCGAGAATCCATGGAATCAAAATGACTTTGAAAATAATAGCTGAGAGCATCTCCAACCGTTGTGTATATTTTTTTGTGTAAATCTGATGTGTCATGATGGATTTACATAAAAAAATTTAAATTATTTAATTTTAGCTCCAGCGGTTGTTTTTTACCTTTTGTATAAAAATATATCTCCCAATAACAATTATCCATGTGTCATGCCAGGACCCACATAATTTCTATAAACTTACTTAATATATGGTTGATTCTTTAATGGAATGAGAAAGAGGGATAAAAAAAGAAATATGTTGATTTGGCCGTGTAAAAAGGTTGTGTATTTTACACAATCCTTTTACACATTGGTGATGTGACAATATGTAGGTTAACAGACTGCTGGAGATGGAAAAAATTTACACATCATAGGTGGCAGTGTATATTTTACACAAAAGAGTACTTTAACATACCATTGGAGATGCTCTAAGATTGAGAAAATAGAAGAAGAAATAAGTTGAGCGGTAGATAATAGAGATGTGTTAGATGTGATGAATGATGGTAGGAGTTGGGGTATTTATAGAGATTTTTTAATTAATTTTTTTTTTTTTTAATAAAGTTAAAAAAATTTGAATTTTAAAACTTTTTTTAAAATTATAGCCATTTAGGCACTGTTTGTGTCAGCCAAACAGTGCCTTAACGACCAAATACACTATTTGGCCTACACATTTAAAATTTAAAGTAAAAAAAATAAAAATAAAAAACTAAATTTTAAGGGAAAAAAACAAAAAAAAAAAGGTTTTTTAATATGTTTTTGGCCTAAAAATTTTTTTTTTTTGGACAAACAATGCCTAAACAATATATTTTTTATTTAATGAATTTTATTTTATCCAAAAAAAAGAGCTCTAAATAACCTATTTTTAGGTTTTAATTCAAATTTTTTTTTCTGCCAAAAGGCACCGTTTGGAAACACTGTTCCAGCACCTGCAAAAAAAGACAAAAGAGTGGCAGCCAAATGGCGCCGTTTTGAAACCAAAAAAAATAAAAAAAAAATTACCACGATCGCGGGCCGGCTCGCTAAATACCGCGAGCCTAAATGGGCCCTAATAGTTTTGAAGAGGCCGCTGCACGACCCAAAGCCTCTCTCTCTCGCAGAAATTGGGTTCCGCTAGTGGGCTGCGGATGCTCTTAGGACCTCTCTCTCTCTCCTCTCTTTGTTTTTGCCTCTCACGCTGTGTCATCGATATCTTCTCTCTTCGTCTTTGATTCTTCCTCTCTTCTCTCCCTATGAGCTGGCTCTCTTTTGTCTTCGATTTTTTTTTGGATAATTAATAATTTTATTCAAAGAAAACAGAGAACAGTAAAAGAGGGACACCCCCAAAGTGAAAAAAAAAAAAAAAAAAAAAAAAACAAACAAACAAATACAACTGAGAGCCAGCGAAGGCTCAAGTATTCCAGAAAGGCAATTATATCTAACAGAGCTCCTACTGAACCTAGAGGAGGACATGGACAACATCTTTAGCGTACTGGAGTCAATGGACTTGTAGCATTGGAGAGCAATAGAGTCTTCATTAGAGAAAGTGTTCGAAAACCTTCTAGAGTTGTTCTCAGCCCAAATCATATACACACAGCAAGAGACAGTAAACTTACCTAGTAGATGATGCCAGTTCCTCTTAGATCGACAGTTGACAGAAATCCATTCAAGTATAGAGAATAACCTAACTATACCTTGCCAATCAGTGTCTACAGCAATAGCAACAGCAGACCAGACCTTCCGAGAGAATTGGCACTCAAAGATTAGGTGCTCAGTAGATTCAACTTGTCTTCTACAGAGAATGCAGCAATCAGATTGACCCATGCCCCTATCAAACAGCGACTTCATGGTGCTTAACCTGTCCTTGGCTGCCAGCCAAAGGGTGAAAGAATGTTTAGGGACACCACCTTTAAACCAAACAGCCTTGGAAAAATTCCATGAGTTATGTTGAATCCTATAATCCTCATAGGCATCCCCGACTGAGAAAGGCCTATTGGACTTAGACCAAACAACCACATCCTGTCCAGAATCTGAAGTAATAGAAAACTGATTTAACAAAATACCAATGTCCCTGACATTACATGCATGAGAAGAAGGCCAATTCCATCTCCCCTCATATAGAATATCAGCGACTTTAGCATGATGAGAAATGCCAGAATCATGTATAATTCTATGGCCGTTGGCAAGCACAATAGGACCACAAGGAAGCCATGGGTCAAACCATGAAGAGGTGTTCAAACCAGAATGGATGATATGTTTAAATTTACATCTAAGCATTTGCCTCCAACACCAAGAAGCAGAGGAAGGAATCTTAACTACCCCAAAACCCTTTGAGAAGGTAGGAGGAGATCCATTTACACCAAATAGAGTGAGAGGAAGCAAAATTATCAGAGATGAGATTCCAAATGTTTTGCAGAAGATGGCCTTGTTCCATGCCTGCAAGTCCTTAATACCTAGACCACCTTCAGCAGCAGGGGGGCACACATTTGATGGCCTTGTTCTCTTCGATTTTGCCAAATCGAAGATGGAAACAAAGCATTTGTTTCGTAAAATCTAAGAGGAAATAGAACATGTAAATGTGTGTTTCTCGAAGGAGAACGTATTGAAATTTTTTGAATGAGAATTGCTATGTTTGTACCAAAGACGAAGATTTTTTTCTTATATGTTGTTAAGCATTTTGAATGAGTTTCTACTGCATCAGGTTCAATTATCATTTTGTCTCCAACTTTTCATCGGTTTAGGGCTTTCACAGTTTAGTTAATACCCATTTTTTCTCATTTGACATGTTTATTTGTACCATATGCTTAATTGTTGTTTATACTACAAATCACACCTTTATTTAAATTCTAGTAGTTCATATCTGAAAATTTTAATTTCTTCTTTATTGTGTTCACTCATTTGACAGATACAAAGATGCATTGCAACGAGGGATAAAAATGGTCTCCATTTTGCTTCTCACTGGATTGGACCAATTAGGGGGTAAATTTGGCTCGGGTAAAATCGGATTTACTAGCTTCCTTGTACACCTGCTTTATATAGCTTCTTTGTATATCTGTTCTACACACCGTATTTATTTAATTTTTTTTATTAATCTGACTTGGACTTGGACTTGTACGTGGGCACAGGTCTTTGGAAGACTTACAAAAATAAGTTTGAAATTCGAAATCCCCCAACCAAAACGAGAGGTCTCCAAATTTTTTTTCCCCCTTCAGAAACACAGAGCTCTCCCAACCAAAACCACATCTGCTCCAAGCGGAGTCAGTTACTATTCATGCGCAGAATCTGAGTAGTTGAATCTCTCAACAATTCCTTCGTTTCTTCCGTTTTCAATTTATTGATTCGGATGAGGTTAGCTACTCTTTACTCTGTATCTCTCATTGGCAAACTCTTGAGTGCTTTCTTTGTTGGGATTGATCTGATATTTAAATATGTTTGGTCATCGAATTGTCAAAGGGGTTTTATAGGGTTTTGATTTTTTTTTTTTTTTCCTGTAAAGATTGGTTTTAGGTTTAATTTGCATTAATGGCAAAGATTTCATGTACCACTTATATCTAGGTTGATTTCACGGTGCATGGCCAGTTAAGGTTGTGTTTTTTGGATCCCAATATAGTTTGTGTTAGGAATTTATTTATTTTAAATGTGTTTTTTTTTTTTTTTTTTTTTTGTTTTGTTTTGTTTTTTTTTTTTTTTTTTTTGTTGGGGTTTCTTTGTTGTTTGAATTTAATCTTTATTTGGGATTCTTACAGAACAGCAACTTATTGGCTCTTAGTGTTAGTTTTAGCTGCAGTGACTCCCATCTTTTTATTCCTGCTTCTTTTCCCCCACTTTGGAATGTGATTTATTCAATGGATTTAAATGATTAGACTTTGCAGCATTTTACTCTACTTACCAATTGATATTTGCATTACTTGATTTCATCATTAACAGACTTTTGACAGGAAGCTCAGACTATTGTGGCATGCAGCCTTTCCAGATGTTGCTCTTGCTGGTTTGATCTCTGAGCAATGGAAAGATATGGCTTGGCAAGTCTCTAATCCATTGACTGACTTAAGGTACCATCTGTAACTTAAAATGCTAACTTGAGTTTAAGGTGTCTATTAGGTGATAATCATATTATAATTGAGGTTTTTGAATTATCCTTACTTGTAATTTATATTGAAGAGTGTTGGATGTCACATTGAAAAGATACAGTCAGTTGTTTTTCATGATTTTATTCACAGTAAATTTGGGTTTCCTGTTGCTGAAATGAGTTTGATATGGTGATTTCATCAAATGCTGGTGCCTTGATTTTTTCAAAAGCCTTTGTTGTAGTAGTCTATCTCATTAATAACTCCTTTCTGAGAACTGGCTTGTGCTACAAATGTTAGGGTCTGTTTGGTTATGAAGGTTCAGAGTCATTTTAAAGGAACCTTATCATGTGATCAAAAGCGAAGTAACGGAAAGCTGGTCTTTAAATAACATTAATAGTTTGTGTATATATATATATATATATCATGTGTATAGATATTCTCTGATTCATTTTACATCACATTTCCTAATATAAACAAATGGAAAAATGCCATCTTCATAGATGTCCAAATTAAATCTTAAGATAAAAGAAATTGGTGAATCTGATGCAACTCGGATGATATTTTTTTATAGAGATGTAATTATGATGATATTTTTGGTAGGTTAGTTATGATTTAATGAAATGGAATATCACTTTACACCACGGTTCCACATATAAGAGAACTTGATTTGACACATAAATAGAATTAACTTTATGTTATTTTTTTATTTATTCCCCATGTTTCTAAAATAAAACAAGTTGATGCATAGTTACTCACTTAGGGATGCACTAACTGATTTGGGTATGGGCATGTGACAATTTTAATTATGTTCAGTAATGCCAGATGCTAAAGAATTTCAAAGGCCAGGTTGATCAAATAATATTTGTGAGAAAAAGTCAAGTAATGATGATTTATTATTCAGATGTGTTTTTCTTTTATTAGAATGTTGAGTAAATATTTGTTGGCTTAGTAGTTACAGTTATATAAAGAGCATGCATTGACATATAGGATAATGGCTCTATATGCCAAGGGACTCAGGTACCTATATTGATTTACTCTAAGCCTCTAAGGGAATCCTTGCTAACCATGTCACTATATAATTTTTATTTTTTTTACTTTTTTTTTGGTTGGGGGGGAGGGGGATCAATTTACCTAAAGTGAAAAAATGGGTGTCTCACTGTCCATAAAATAAATTCATCTTATCATGGTTGTGGCTTTTGCTCCTTTTATTTGTATCTTATCATGGTTGTGGCTTTTGCTCCTTTTATTTGTAGGGATGAGGAAGGATTGTTTTATGCATTAGACCTTGGTGGCACAAATTTCTGTGTCCTTCAGGTACAGTTGGATGGTAAAGACAAACACGTTGCTAAACAAGAATTTGAGGAAGTTTCTAGTCCTCCACATGTGATGGTTGGCAGTTCAGTGGTGAGTAATTCAAGCATCCACACAATATCTGACTCTCATTAGATTGCTTTAAAGTCTGAAGCTTCAAACTATGGTGATTTCAGGCTTATAGAGTTTTATTGCTGAGGCACTCGCTAAATTTGTTGCTACAGAAGGTGAATATTTCCATCTTTCACCTGGTAGACAAAGAGAGCTGGGTTTCACCTTTTCATTCCCAGTTAGGCAATCATCCATTGTAGGAGGAAGTCTTATTAAAAGGACAAAAGGTTTCTCTATCGAATCAATGCGGTTAATCTCAGTTACCTTTACTCTTGAATTGTGTAATCTTTATTTGTTATTTTTACTCACAGTTTCTAATATTAGTTTTTACTCCAAATAATGTAGATGTCTACAACTGAATAAATTAATATTGAATTGTTCTATTCAGAATTCTGGTTGAGAAAAATGGTCGTGTTTCACAATTTTTTTCCTTCTATAAAATTAATCTCATGGTAATCAAATTCCTCATAAGTCATAACCGTATATTTAGGCACGAGAGTTGCTGCCTGAGCCATGAATTTTCTGCCCGAGTTCATAAATTAGTGTGACTTAGATTAGCTTCTTGTCATGACTAAAGAAGGTCTTAATGGGTCAATAAAACGGCAGAAAAGTTCTTCTGACCAGATTATTTAGAACTCACTTCTTAAATTCAAAATAAAAAAGTCCAATTCTAGTTGAAGTGAAACTTTGATATGAAATATTATTTGTATTTTTGTAAGAGTTATGCTTTTCAATAGTTATGCTTGATTATGGCTTCATTGTAAATTGATCGTTTTGTGAATTGATATGGTCAATTCTGTAATAATCTAGAAGCATGCTTTTGGATTGCCACTTAATTTAAGAACTGCCCAGAGCATTTCCCTTTCCTGGTTAATTGAACCATGGATATCATAAAAGGCCATTGTTGTATCTATTCATTACTAAATTATTAGTGCTTTCTATTTCAATTTTCAAATTATTGATTTTAGTTTCATAAGCTATTTCTTAGTTGATAAACAGTACTAGGATCAATGCCTGTTTTAATTGGCTTCATTAAGCATAATATAAAATTTTGTTCTTAGAGGTAAGGACTTATTAGGTCCAACCGTCCAACACTTGCTCTATCTATCTTTTAGCGTATAATGCTCTCTTCTGGTTTTATTTGGCTCATTATAGGTTGGATAAGATGTTGTGGCTACTTTGGTGACTATTGTTTTCTTTTTATATGAATATTGTCAGGATGATTGACAGTTTGTTGCTGGTGATGTATTTCAGATGTCAATCTGGTCAGCTTCCTTGGTATTTTGCTTGGTGGCTTACATTTTAAACTTGACCCCCTTAACTTGTTTGATTAATGCAGGTGAATGATACAATTGGAACATTAGCAGGAGGCAGAAACTACAACCAGGCTGTCATTGCTGTTTTGATTTTGGGTACAGGAACTAATGCAGCATATGTGGAGCAGGCACATGCAATTCCCAAATGGCACGGTCTACTGCCTAAATCAGGTGAGATGGCTACCAGTTTTCAAATGTTTGAACCTATTGTTTTCAAATCATGATTTAAACTTTCTTCTAATTCATTTTTTTATACTTTTAATTTGTCCCTTCCATTGGGTAGAAGTGTTTGTGGTTCCAAACCAGGTGTCAATCTGTAACTTGATATGCGATTGCTTCTTAATAAAAGATATTTGGGATGGTATTTTAATTTTTATATCCTTGGAAAAAACTAGCAAATTAATATTTGATTTTTTGCTTCTGCATACAGGGATCTATCATATAATAAGGGCTTAATAGGTTCTCTTCCCTCATAAATTGAAAATTGAAAGAAGTTATTGGACTTGTAAGGACATTCTTATTTTTTTATTAAAATATTAACTGATAACTAAAATGGTAGTTACAATGCTCTGATAAACCAATTTGATTCTACTCTGCATCAGAATTCTAGTTGTTTGCAGGTTTATTGGTCTGATTCCAGAGATGATATCATCTCTCTCCAGCAGCTGGTTTTCTTGTAAGGATTTCAAATCTGGCATTCTAGTTCTATTTTAATGTGAGAGCTAATGAACATGCAAGTCGTTTGCTGAAATTTGGCCTTTAAACTTCTTTAATAAGTGAAGCATCTAGCTCCAGTATGTTTGGAAGGAAAAATTTAAGACTGACTTTTTCAAGTTTTTCATACTAGTTGCACCTCTATTTTCCTTGGATATGTGTTATTTAATTATGTATTTGTCAACGTCATGTTGTGGCCCGAATTTGGTGCGGGGTCGTGTTGCAACCCGTTGATTGTGCTTAAAGTAGGGCCTAAGTCCACCAAAGGTATGGCCTTTGGGGGCAGCGGCCCCAAGGAAAATTTTTGACCCGATTTTTGCTTGCGGGTCGTGGACCCTATTTAGTACTCCTCTCTTGTAGCCCGATATATAAGGGTGTTCAAGATTTGGAGTGGATTATAGAGAGACATTGAAAATCACATAAGAGAGGGTGAGAGCAAGAGTTCGGTTTTGGGGCTGAAATATGTAATCTCCTTATTTCTGCATGGTGAAAACTTTTGCCGGATCTTCACCATAGATGTAGGCTTTGCCGAACCACACTAAATCTTTTTGTTCTTTGTGTGGTGTTTTTACTTTTCTGTCGTGTTTGTTGATTTGTTCTTTGGTTCGCTGTGTTTGTCATCACAGTCAAAGAAAGCATCTCACAAGGTTTTGAACTGGTTATTTGAAGTTCTGTAACTCCAAATCCCTTCCCCCACAAGGCCGTGGATACTAACCTTCTTGTCACTATATTATTTATAGAAATGGGAAGTAATCTGCTTCCTATATATTTGATTTACAAAATCAAATTCAGAGCTCTCTGAAAATCAAATCTCTAGATACTGTTTCAAAGAAGCAAAACCAGAGCAAATTCAGACCTACTGTATATATAAAGATTTTGTTGAATGAGAGAAAAAATTGAATGAAGCAAGATGGCAATTATGAAAGAGAGAATGTTCAGGTTGCATAGACACGTGTCAGAATCTGTCAAGTCTGGAGAGAGAATCGATCAACTTCTCCAACATTCAGCCTCTTCAGGTCTCCTCTCATTTTTCACTTTTATTTTTTGTTTGCGTTTATTTTTTTAAGTTTGATTAATATACTGTTGGAACTTGGAAGCTATAAATACTTATGATGTTTTGAAATAAAGCAAATTCTGCAATACGGAGGAGTAAAGATTTATATTATTACCCGAAATTCCGGAACAATTAAAAGATGGTTAGTTCTTAAACATTAAGCTAATTATTACTTGATTTATTGTCATCACCATTTTGGTGTGGTATGTCTTTGATGTGACTGGATGACACTGGGCAAGTGGTAATGTAAGAGAATTTGTAATCATAATTTTGGAGCTAATACAAGAAGGAATTTTTATTGGGGATGTGAGTATATGTAAACGAGTAAAGATTTATTTTTATTTTTTTAATCAATTATTGGATATTTATTGAATTTGTGTTTTATCCATTTTATAAAAATTGCCAGAAAAGAAAAAAGATATATACTTAAGTATGAAAACCCGTGTCTCGTAGGAATCAGTATGAGGTGATATTCTCACTAATCTCTTTGATTTAAGTTTTCTCAAATTCTTGTTTTTAGTTCATTATGTTTATAATCTACAGCTATTTGAAAATTAATGGCAATCCTAGATACTCTCACTCTTTGAAACTTAGTATCTCCTTTAGTGCTAACATTGTCAATTTATGGATCCTCCTATAGTTGGTCACAATGAAGCTCTTTAATTTTTCTATATTCAGTGGTTATGAAGCTATCAATGGATATTCTGAATATTTAAGTCCTTTAAATCATTAATATGGTTATCTTTTGCTACTTGGAGTGCGAACAAATTTGAAAAATGGCTTTTGCCATTGCTGAAATTTTATTTTGTTAAATGTTATGCAGTACTGGACTTTGCCATCATTGTCATGTTGAAGTTTTTACCAACCTCTCATGGTGTATTATGGTATTGTCACTACCATTTTCATGACTGAAAACTTGTCTTTAGGCTAGTAGTCAATCATATTATTAGACTAGACAAGCTCACCCTTCAACCTTCTAACTAATTGACCAAGTTTGACAGGGTAGTTTGGGAACGGTAGAGAAAAAGAAAAGCAGAAAACAAGTCAATTTATGCTTCTTTTAGAGCATAACAAACCTGCAATTCCAACTATTTTTCCATTTTACTCCAGGAGTTAAAATATTTCATTTATTTAATATCTCATTAGATCAACTATCTTTATGATAGGTAAAATTTCGCTAACCTTGTTTGACAATAATAACATATGCTCCTTTTTACATGCTTTGTTCATTAAATACATCATTTTAAAAAAATTCTATAGCCTATTCTTGACATATAGATTTGGTTTCTTTTATGTGCAGCGGGTGTGCAAAGGTTTTAAGGTTCCAAAGGCCACCCAACTTGCAGGCAACCGGAGATTAAAGTCAATATTGGACCTGACGTGCTATATAAGTTCTCTATTTTCTTTTTCTCCTCCACAATATTTTCTCTTCATTTTCTTCGGTTTCAGTATTCAGACAAAAACATTATTAGTAATTTTCTATGCAGTTTGTTTTGCATATAATGTTGTCGTTTTATTGGCGTTAATTGATTACAATGTTGTAAGCCAATACTTTGTTTGTTTGTTTAAGTTTCTAATGGCATTTCCTTTGTGTTATTACCATTTCAAATTAAATATATAGTGTTTTTTATTCGGTTTGATTATGCTTAGAATCAACAACTTGAACTTGAAGTGTATTTCCATTCTTCTTCCCCAGCCCTCCTCTTAGTGAAGAACTTTATCAGTTATCAATTATCACGGTGTTGGTGTTATGAGTTTTTTTATTGTCAAGTTTTTCTTTTGTTGTGAATTATTATCAGAGAGAAATGACAGTCTTTTTCAATAAAAAAATTAAGAGAAGAGTCCTGCCATGTATGCATGCATAATTGTCGAATGAAGCGTAGATACTTCGTCGGATGCATTGTAGGGAGACTAGTCACCCAGGAAGTATAGATACTTCACCAAAGGTGCCGTAGTGGTATCGGACTAGTGTCGGTCTAGGATATGCCTGGAAAATAAAATTTTAATTTTTGGATACGATTGGGATACGGATGCGCGGAAATACTTTTTGGATATAAATTTATGATAATACAAAGGGGTTTATATCGGATATGTGTGGAGAGTAAGAAAACTTAAATCTTATGTGATAAATCCATGATAATAATATAATCTATAATGCTACGTTTGGTGTGCAGGAATGGAATAGAATGAATGTCCATTCCAATCATTCATTTGTTTGGTATGCAATTTAAAGTGGGAATGGCCATTCCATTGGAATGAAAATTCATTTATGGAAATGAAAATCCATTCCACAACTAAACATATGGAATGACCATTCCATTCCCAAGTAATTTATTTTAAAAAACCGACTTTCCAAAACACCCTCATATTCCAAGTCTAAAAACCACCATTATCTTCCACCAAAATCATCTCCGCTTTTCACCACCACCACCACTACCAATGCCTTCCACCACCACCGACTTTCACCATCACCTACCACTTTCCACCACCACCAACGCCACTGCCTTTCACCACCGCTACCACCACCGTTTGCCGCAACCACCACCATCGCCTTTTACCACCTCCACCACCACCTTCCACCACCATCACTGTTACCGCCTTTCACTACCACCACCACCTTCCACACCGCCACTACCGCCGCCTTCAACAACCACCAACGCCGCCGCCGCCGCCATCGCCTTCCACCACCACTATCACCTTCTACCACCACCACCACCACCACCACCACCACCTTTCACCACCACTACCGCCATCACCTTTCACCACCACCACCTTTCACCACCACTACCGCCTTCCGCCACCGCTTTCCGCCACCGCCGCCACCACCACCACCACCACCACCACCTCCGCCGCCTTCCACCACCATCGTCACCACTTTCCACCACCAATACCGCCACCACTTCCACTGCTTTCCACCACCACTATAGTTACACCACTATCTCCTTCCACCACAACCACCATACTATTGCCACCGCCTTCCACCAACACCACTGCCACATTTCACCACCACTGCTGTCACCAATTTTCACCATTGCCACCATCGCCGCCTTCCAACACCACCACATACACTACTACCGCTTTTCACCATCCACCACCGCCACTACCACCATTTATTTTTAAAAAATTATTAGAGAATATCATTTTGTTAATTTTATTTAATTTATTTGTTACTAAGAAGGATATTTTGGAGAATTCAATTAGAAATTTATTCCATTCTAAATTTTAAATTGATCAACCAAACACTAGAACGAATACTATCATTTCATTTCTACAAATTTCATATTTACAACCAAACAATAGAATGAGAATTACCATTCTATTTCATTCCCATTCTAATTCAATTCCACTTGCATTCCATTCCATTCTTGCACACCAAACATAGCATAATATATGTCAAGTAACATATATTCTAACAATTCTCAATCCCAACACTAGTGAACTATGCATTAGGGATATCATAGAGGTTATAATTGTAGTACGGTTTTTTAACCTCTTCTAACAAGTCAGCCATCAAGATTCAACATAACAAATGTGTTACTACCTTTTTGGATCGTAGAGAAAGGAAATAGGCCTTTTTTGTTTTTGTTTTTTTTTTAAAAAATTTTTAGGAAGGAAGACTTAATCAGATTAAGGAAATCAATTCGCATGGCAAAAAAGCTTAGGGGGACATTTAGATATAACAGTTGCAACTAGGTTTGACAATTATCAAACTTAAGATAGTAGAATTGCATCAACGTTTGGATCAATAAACCTACAAATAAATAGTATAACTTATTAGCAAATCAATCATTAAACACAACTTCAAGATTAGGGGTGACAAATTGTTGGGTTTATTTCCTTTTATATGGAGAAAACCCAAGTGGGTTTTATTAAAGTCCAAAGCCCAGCCTTTTAGGGTGTATAACCCTAAGGAAGTCAGAAAAAAGAAAAAAAAAAAATAAGCCGTAGCTTTCCCAAGAGAGAGAAAGGAAAAACGCAGTTTTTTCTCATACTGCCTAGATTTCATCAAAACTTCGATCCCGCTTCGTCCGTGGTCCGATCGAGCTAAAATTTAGAGGAAAGGTTCACGACTCAATGAGTTAAAATCTTAACGGTGGAGATCGAATTTTGAGCTCGGGAACAGTGATTCGTGCCCGTAAACAGTAACCGGGTTTATGGTATTCTCCAATTCTCTTTATTTTTTGCCAAGATTGGTGATATCTTGATGAGTTGTATTGTAGCCTCTAATTGCAATTATAGAAGATTTTGTGTACCCATTATTTGGTTGATAATTGATATTTTAACTGGACTAGGTCCCGTGGTTTTTCTTCCTCACACTGGGGAAATTTTTCACGTAAAAAATTACGTGTGTTCTTATGGCTTGGTGTGATTGATTATTTCTCTATTATTTTTCAACACATATAAAAGTACAGATACATTATATTTGCTTGCATATAGGGAGAAGAGTTATTCCGCTGTGTTTGTTTATTGTTATCTCTCCCAACAAAGTGGTATCAGAGCTCCAGGTTGACAGATTGCCAAGTTGGCAGTTTGAGTTATGGAAGCTAATACGAGTAGAATGATTAATCTCAATGGTTCAAATTATCACATATAGAAAGAAAAAATGGAGGATCTTCTTTATGTGAAAGATTATTACCTACCGGTGTTTAGTGCTGAAAAATTAGAAAACAAGTCTGATGTGGAATGGACTTTGTTACATCGACAGGTGTGTGGGTATATGAGGCAGTGGGTAGATGATAATGTTTTGAACCATATTAGTGGAGAGACAAATGCACGTTCTCTATGGAGTAAGCTTGAACAACTATATGCTAGAAAGACTGGAAATAATAAATTATTTTTGATTAAACAAATAATGGCTTTCAGATACCAGGACGGGACTCCTTTATCTGATCACCTGAATACATTCCAAGGAATTATTAATCAGCTGGCTGGAATGTGTATTAAGTTTAATGGTGAGATACAAGGGTTATGGTTGCTTGGTTCATTACCGGACTAGTGGGAGACGCTCAGAACTTCATTGTTTAACTCCGCTCCAGAAGGTGTAATCACAATGGATATGGCCAAGAGTTGTTTGCTAAATGAAGAGATGAGAAGAAAAACACAGGGATCCTCTTCACAGTCAGAGATCTTGGTTACAGAAAAGAGGGGGAGAAGTAAGAGTATAGGTTCGAAGAACAGAAATAACAACAAAAGCAAGTCCAACAAGTTTGCAAATGTTGAGTGTTATCATTGCGGGAAAAAGGGACACATCAAGAAATATTGCAGGCAATTGAAGAAAGAAAACAAGAATAAGAAAGGGAAGGGAACGAAGAATGGAGATAACAAAGATGGTGATGATAGAGTTCCTACCACCACTCATGCAGACTTCCTCATTATTTATGATGATGAGACGATAAATGTTGCATACCATGAGACCAGTTGGGTGATTGACAGTGGTGCCTCCATTCATGCTACATCTCGGAAGGATTTCATTATATCTTATAAATCTGGTGATTTTGGAACAGTAAAGATGGGCAATGATGGCTTGGTTAAAGCCATTGGAATTGGGGATGTGTATTTGAAGATGAATAATGGCACGAGGTTAGTTCTCAGAGATATGAAGCATGTTCCTGACATTCGTTTGAATTTGATTTCTGCAAGTAAACTTGATGATGAAGGGTATTGTAGCACTTTCAGTGATGGCCAGTGTAAGCTCGCTAGGGGTGCTATGGTTGTGGCTCGAGGCATGAAGCACTCTGTACTGTACGTTCTACAAGTAAAGATCTCCAACGACATTGTTAATGCGATGAAGGATAATGACACAACAGAGTTGTGGCAAAAGAGACTGGCTCACATGAGTGAGAAATGATTAGCTCTACTGGGGAAGAAAAGTCTACTATGTGGACTGAAAAGTACACTTCTGAAAAGGTGTACTCATTGTTTGTCAGGGAACCAGAGCAGAGTCTCTTTCAAGAATTCCCCTCATTCGAAAAAGTCAGAGATACTGGATTTGGTACATTTAGATGTGTGTGGCCCTATGAAGACGAGAACACTTGGTGGCTCCAGATACTTTGTGACCTTCATAGATGACCATTTAAAGAAGTTATGGGTATATACCTTGAATTCAAAAGACTAAGTGTTGGCAGTATTCAAATGATTTCAAGCCTTAGTTGAGAGACAGACTGGGAAGAAATTGAGATGCATTCGTACTGATAACGGCAGAGAGTATTCTGGTCCTTTTGATGAGTATTGTAGATAGCAGGGTATCCAGCATCAAATGACAACTCCGAAAACTCCTCAGTTAAATGGCATAGCAAAAAGGATGAACATGACACTGGTTGAGAGAGTGAGATGTTTGCTTTCACATGCCCAGTTGCCAAAATCCTTTTGGGGGGAGGCATTGAGCACAGTTGTTCATGTGTTAAATCTCACACCCTGTGTTCTTTTACAGTTTGATGTGCCAGACCGAATTTAGACAGGTAAGGATGTTTCCTATAATTATCTGCTTGTGTTTTGGGTGCAAAGCATTTGTGCATATTCCAAAAGATGAAAGGTCTAAACTTGATGTGAAAACGCGACAATGTATATTCCTTGGCTATGGCCAAAATGAGTTTGGG